GCCAGGAGGAGGGCCGCCGGGAACACCCAGGCCTTCTCCTGCCTCCCGGGCCTCCCCGAGCCACCCCTCACCCCTGACTCTGCTGCCGCTGGTGGGAGGAGGGCCGCCAGGAACACCTGGGCCTTGCCCTGCCTCCCGGCTCTCCCTGAGCCACCCCTCACCCCCGTCTCCGCCACCGCCACCGGGAGGAGGGCCGCCAGGAACACCTGGACCTTGCCTTGCCTCCCAGCTCTCCCACAGCCACCCCTCACTCCCGTCTCTGAAGCCCCCGCCGCTCAGCTGGGTGTTAATGCTGGCGGTAGCGGTGGCTTCTGAAAGACCGTGGGGGAGCCTTCCCCCACAGTCCTTCGGAAGCTCCTGCCGGTCAGCTGGGGGGAAATGGGGCTATGGGGGAAAATCGCAAAGCGATTTTTCTCCATAGGCAACATCGCAATGCGATCGCAAAAGCGATCACAAAAAAGCCATCGCTATGTGGATTTGTCATTAAATGGGACACTCGTTAAGTGAGGCACCACTGTAATTGGTTCCACTGCCCTCCTGCTCTAACAGTTAAGATGTTTTTCCTGATATTAAACCAAAATCTGGCTTTCTCTAACCTGAGCCCATTGTTGCGTGTCCTGCACTCTGGGATGATCAAGAACAGATCCTGTCCCTCCTCCGTATGACAGCCTTTCAAATATTTGAAAAATGTTATCATATCACCCATCTGTCTTCTTTTCTCAAGACTAAACACACCCAATTCTTTCAGTCTTTCCTCATAACGCTTGGTTTCCAGCCCCCTGATCATCCTTGTTGCCCTCCTCTGAACTTGTTCCAATTTGTCAGCATCCTTCTTGAAGTGTGGTGTCCAGAACTGGACACAATACTCAAGGTGTGGCCTAACCAGTGCTGAATAGAGGGGAACTGGCACCTCATGGGATTTGGAAACTATACTTCTGTTAATGTATCCTAAAACAGCATTTGCCTTTTTGTAGCCACATCACACTGTTGGTTCACAATTCAGATTGTGATCTACGACAATTCCAAGAACCTTCTCGCTTGTAATATTGCTGGGCCAGGTATCCCCCATCTTGTACCTGTACATTTGGTTTCTTTTTCCAAGGTACTTTGCAATTATCCTTGTGGAATTTCATTCTATTGTTTTAAGCCTAGTGTTCCAGCCTATCAAGATCATTTTGAATTTTATTTCTGTCTTCCAGGGTATTAGCTATTCCACCCAATTTTTGTGTAATCTGCAAATTTGACAAGCATTCCCCGCACTTCCTCATCCAAATCATTCCCCCTCTGAGTATAATTCTGTAGTCAATTGTGTATCCACCTGATATTTGATCTATCCAGCCCACACCTAGTGAGCTTGCTAATCAGGATATCAATGGGGCACTTTGTCAAAAGCTTTGCTGAAGTCAAGGTATACCGTATTTGCCGTCGTATAAGACAACTTTTTTGGCCTAAAAAACATGCCTCCAAATGGGGGGGTTCATCTTATACGCCGGGTGCACTTCAGTTGGGTGAGGAACGAGCCGGCACCGCTGTTGAGTGAGTCATGTGGGGCAGCACCGATCGGGGAGGAAGGCAGGTGGGCAGGCAGGCAGTTGGTCCGGACAGAGGGAGGGAAGCAGAGCCCGCCACCGGAGAGCCACTTCCCTCCTCCTCCTCCTCCTCCTCCTCCTCTGCTGCCGCCACCCAGCCGCCCACTTCCCCTCCTCCTCACCGTCCTTGGGCCTGCTCGGCCACTGCCCCTCCTCCTTACCCTCCTCGCCGCTGAGCCAGCTGCCCGCTCGCCCACCCGCCGCCGGAGAGCTGCTTCCCCTCCTCCTCTTCCTCCTCCGCTGCCGCCGCCCTCCGAACTTCCAGGGCGGGCCCAGGCAGAGCCCCGGGCAACCGCCGCCGAGGCCGCAGCAG